ACAAAGTCATTGTTATCCAAAACTGGCACAAAGTAGCCTGAGCAAAATTGGCAGCACATGGCATTCACACAGCAGTCAGCCAGTCTGATTTGGGGTTGGAATTGCCCAGAACTGAGTGGCATCTAAAGTGGCCTGAATCCCCGAGTAACTGCCAAGTCTCTATTTTACAGTGAGTTGTCTAACTTCAAACTAGGATCTGGGAAAGAACACAAGTGATCGATACAGTAAGAAAGACTTTGTCTTTAGGGCTGAGAATGACACAGATGAGAGAGTATTTGGCCAAGCACACTATACTTTGAGAAATGAGACAAAACCTCTGCATGATCAGCTAGTCATTCCGTGTGACATCCCAACCCACTCTCTAAGCCTGACAATTGTTCCCAAGATGCGGTAACACTTGCAGCCATTCTTGTTTCTTGTCTTTTGGGACCTAAAAAGTCAGATATAAATAACTTTCAGAAAACACCTGATGCTGGTAGGCAAACTCCATAGTCCTAAGAGGTTGTAAATGACCCAACCCGGCCGTTGTCCTTTTTCTGTCCAGGACTGTGGCAGGTACTCAATATTTGCTTGTCTGACAATATTTTACAGAGAAAGAAGTCTGGGCTAAATTATTGAGAACCCTTCTGATTTAAGATTTACCAAAGATGCCACCACCTTCTGCTGTATATTTCTTCAAGTTCTCATTCCCCTTTCTTGATAACTTCATTCAGCATCTTTTTGCTTCTCTTCCAGATTGTCCTTCATGTCAGTGTAGTCCCAATCTACTAGTCTCTCTTTTGTTTATTTGGAGAGTCTTGCCTCTGGGGATTCACGTTTTTCTATTTTGCTAATTATTTCTTATATGCAGGTCATAAATAGTGCCAATTGTTTCAGTCTTACTTCTCACACAATCCTGGTTTCTCCTTTGAATTACTTTGGAACATCCTGCTGTGATTTCAGATACTCTTGGGAACCCACAGGGTTCTGTGTTTCAACAGGTAAGTCAGTCACTCTACAAGTACTTATAAGCACCTACTATGTGCCAGGCAATGTCCTAACCTCTGGAGATACAAAGAAAAGGAAAAGAGTCTCTATTCTCAAGTAGCTTACATTCAAACTGAGGAAACAACATGTAAACAACTGTACAAATATGCACAATAAACTGGAGATAATCAACAGAGGAAAAGGTATCACAATGGTTTTTTTTAGAATATTTTAAATATACGTTTCTTTTTAAATTCAGAATTCTAGATTCCCCCCCTTCTGTACCACCTCTACCCACCAAGAAGGAAAACAATATATCAATTATACACGTGAAATTATGCAAAACACATTTCCATATTAGGTTTATCAGGGGAAAAAAGTGAGAAAATTATGCTTCAGTTTAAATTCAGAATTCATCAGTTCTCTCTCTGGAGGCGGAGAGCATTTTTTTTTTATCAGGCATGCTTTGGAACTGTCTTGGATTACTGTATTGATCAAAGTAGCTAAGACTTTCACAGCTGATCATCATTACAACACCGCTGTTACTGTGCATAACAATCTCCTGGTGTTTCTCACTTCACTTTACATCAGTTCATATGGGTCTTGCCATATTTTTTAGCGAAACCATTCTCCTCATCATTTCTCATAGCACAATAACAGTCTATCACAATCATGTGTCACAATTTGTTCAGCCATTCCCCAGCTGATGAGCATCTTGGAAGGCATTGCAATTAAGGGCAATCAGAAAAGGCTTCTTGTAGAGAATGGGATTTTGGCTAGGACTTGAAGTCAGGGAAGATGGGGGGAATGAAAAGGGAGAGCATTCCAGGGATGGGGGCCAGCTGGTCAAAATGTCTGGCTGAGGAGCATCAAGAACGCCAGAGTCACAGGAGCGCAGAGTATGTGAGTAAGGAGGGGGGCAGGCTACCGAGATCCTTGAACACCAACCAGAGTGTCTGGCATCTGATTCTGGAGGTGACAGGGGACCACCAGAGTTTACTGAATTGTGACAGTGACAAGCCAATTAGATGTGGTATTTAAGAGATTACACCAACTTTGGAGAAAGCAGTTTTAGCTGAATAATGAAATTAGAAGTCTGACTGTAGCTTCCTTTCCAATGAAAAGAAACGGAGGCAAGTGGTCTTCTCAAAAAATTTAGCCACAAGACAGGAAATATGAATATTTGATATTCTTTTCCTTGTAATATTTACTTTTGCAAACGACTTGGTATTTATCTTCCCTTCTAATTTTAGCACCTTAGCTGCTTGAGCACTAGGTTTTTGACTGAATTTTCTTGCTCTTAATATCTTTGGTGGTTTTAAGCTTTTTTCCTTATATTCCCATGCCACTCACTTTCTGGTTCTTTGCCCTTTGATGGTGAGTTTACCATTGAGGCTAGATCTCTTCCTATTCTAGAATTTCCCTTTCCACTGGCTTACTGCCCTAGTAGCTTCTGAGAATGGAACAGAGCCAGCTAGGTTCTAATTCTCTTTACTTCAGGCCCTGGGAAGCCGCCACACACAGGATCCCTGCCCCAGTTCCTCCTTTTCCACCAACCCTATCCCATTCTTTGGTTCTCTAGATGGGATGAGTCATGTCTGCCATATTACACAGGTTTGGTGGAGGATGGAGTATATTCTGGGCAGGTTCCCTAAATTATGGATTACTCCTGGGCAGAAGAGAAAAACATCGTTCTATAGCTCTCTTTTCTTGTCCTATGACTAGGAAAGAGTTGAGGTCTGTAGCTTGTTGCAACAAGCTGCTGGGGGAAGGGCAGGGGTAGTACGTGCTGGCAAAGATTGTAAAAAATTCCCTAAGTAGGTCCCAAAGTACAAGCTGGTAGGAGAAGGGTGATGAGTTAGGAGTTCTAAATTAGTATTCTCTAGTGTTAATTCATAAAGCAGTTACCTTGCTGGGCTTCTTGATTTCTTGTCTTGCGCTCTACCTCTCCGAAGCTTATTTCCTTTTGGTGATTTTTTGAGTTCAGTGGGGACTGGAGAAAATGTCCAGCCCTCCAACTCAGAATAAAAATAAATTAGTAACCGAAATTTACAAAGACAGCCACTATTCACTGGGAATGTAAAGCCACCATAATGATGGTAAATTTGTAATTTTAATATGGACAGTTATCCAAAGGAAATGGAAGTCTTGAAATTTATTGTGTAAACTCCAAGAGTCAGGGACCATGTCTTTGGGGGAGATTTTTATTTTCTCCAGCACCCATACCTTGCTCTTCATCTTTTGTTGTTTAGTCCTTCCGTTTGTATCTGACTCTGTGTGACCCCTTTTCAGGGTTTTCTTGGCAGAGGTACTGGAGTAGTTTGCCATTTTCTTCTCCACCTCAATTTACAGATAAGGAAACTGAGGCAAACAGGTTTGAGAGAGTCAGTCATTCAGGGTCACACAGTTACTAAGTGTCTGAGGCCAAATTTGAACTCTGGTCTTTCTTACTTCAGGCCTAGCACTTTATCCACTGAACCACCAAGTAAGTAAGCACTAAGTGAAAGCTAGCTGAATGAACAAAACTTAAAACTTTTTATAGGCTGAACAACATCATTAAAAAAACTGGAAGGTCAGAGGGTAATATGCTTCTTATTTCTGGTTTCCTGGGCCACTCCTCTCAACAAGAGGAAGAATAGGTCAAAGGAATCTTTTTGTTTTGAGGCCCTATTTCTCATTTACTTAACATTTACTAAATATCTGTGTACAATGAACTAGTGCAGGGGGTGGGGACTCTGGCTTCAAGGCCACATGTGGCCCTCTAGGTCTTCCACTGTGTCCCTTTGAGTCCAAGTTTTATAGAACAAATCCTTTTATTAAAGGGATTTGTTTTGTGAAGTTTGGATAAGTCCGAACCCAAGGACCTAAAAGGCCACATGTGGCCTCGAGGCAGCAGGTTCCCTACCCCTGAATTAGTGTAACAGTTAATAAAAAAAGCATTTTAGTGATTATTATTGGGAAAGCATTGCTGGTCAAGAACGCACCCCAAGCTGGAGAACATTTTAGAAAAATTAAGTCATCTGGCAGGGTCAAAATAGCGCCGCCGCGCCCCCCCCCGCCCCCGGCCCCCATCCTCTATGGGTTAAATGTCATATAGGGTCGGAGCTCAGGAACAAGGAAGCCAGGAAAATAAAGCCGACTGGCTCCAGTAACAGAGAAGCACTTTCAAAGAGAGCACATGATGTCTATATGGAACACAAGGCACGTTTCAGACCTTGAAGGACTCTGGGGTCAGTATGTCCTGAGTCAAACAATAAACAAGATTGGCCTCAAGGACAAATTCAAACATTGCAATAAAGTTTTCTCCACTACGGTACTATAGCTATAATGGTCTAGTTTAAAAGTCCTTGCCCTAAAGGAGCTTACATTTTTCTAAATATTAATACTAAAGAAGCAGCGGTGAAAACAGAACAGGCAGACCAGAAAATAGATACTACCTAGACAGAACTAACAGGACTCAACCTGGCAACTGTCTGGATATGTGAGTTACAGAACACGAAGAGCCCCTTCCTCTACCTTATTTTTCTGAATTCCTCACGCTTAGCTCAGTTCTTGACACACAGTAAGCGCTCAATAAATGCTTTTCCCATTCGTTCGCTCGTTCCTATTCTCAAGGCCTTCCATGAAGGCCCCCGTAGAAGCTCGGGTGAGATGGACATGAACCTGCAGGGTCCCCTAGAAGTGGGCAGGGCTGTGAAAGGGAACGCACCCTCCTGGTCAAAGGCTTCACCGGAGGGCCAAGCCCAGCCGCAGGTATCCTGGCAGACTCAGGAGCATCCGCTGCCGCAACGCGATTCCAAAACCCAGTACCGGAGCCACAGCGCACACATGCGCAGTAACTTCCCCGACCTCCCGGGGTAGTGTGCGTCTTCACTTCCGGGTCTCTGAGCCTTCTCTTAGAGCCGTCTTAGGAACGCCTAACTCGTGTTTCCGGCTTGGCCGGGCTCTGTTCGCCTTCGGTGTTTCATTCTATTCAGGCATTCGCTGCAGGCATCCCCGCCTCTCTGCGCCGGGTCCTGAAGCGCGGGGTCCTTTGGCGAACGCCCGCCCCCTTGGGTCTTTCCATGGCTCGGTCGCTGCGGGGATACCGGCTTCAGGAGGTCGGTTTGAGGGGGGAAATGTACTACAAGTTCAGCGGCTTCACCCAGAAGCTGGCTGGGTCCTGGGCCTCGGCCGCCTACAGCCCGCAGGTACGAGAGCGAACGCGCCAGTGCGAGAAGGGGAGAGCGGGCGGCAGTCTAGGCCTGGCTGCCCTTGGCGGAGCTTCTGCCGCCTTGTGTCCTCTAGCCGGCGGCGGTTTCCTTCCTCTTTGCCGGCTCCCTCACTGCCGACCTCCCGGGTCTTAGGGCCCAAGGTGACCTCCCGGACTACTCCTAAGAGCAAAAGTGACCCCTGAGATCGTCTGGCCTTATGAACTTGACCTTGCCAAGGTTTAGGTGCTAATCCCTTTTCCTTCCCCGTCGCCCACATTAGGAAAAACCGCCTTTTCCTTCCTTGACGCCTCCCCACCATCTTCTCCCACTGCCCAGGGAATTGGCAAATAGATGTTTGTTGAATTATATCGAAGTCAGCAAGCATTTATTAAGAGCCTACTCTGTGTCAGCCGCTGATAGACGTTGGGGATACAAAAGGGCGATAGACAGCCCCTGCCCTCAAGGAGCTCACAGTCTGTTGGGAGAAACGACATGCAAACAGCTCTGCGAACCAGGGATAGTAAGGATTATGTGGGCTGCTCGTAGAGGGAAGGCTTTAAGATGAAGGGAGATCGGGAAACGCTTCCCATCACCTCCAGGATCAATTATCAAATTTTCTGTTGTTCGGAGCCTTTCGTAATCTAGGCCTCTCCTACCTTTTTAGTCTTCTTATCCTCCCTATATTTCCGTAAGTACTTTGTGATCCAGTGCCTCTGGCCTCATTTCTATTACTTGTCTAGACACAAATCTCAAGTCTTCAGGCATTTTCACTGGCTGTACCTCCATATTTGGAATTCTCTTTCTCAAGCTGTTTCCTGGCTTCTCTGGTTTTAGGTTCACATTCTAGCTGAAATTCCACCTTCTATAAGAAGTCTTTCCCAATGCTTCTTAGTTCTAGTGCCTTCCCTCTTTTAATTATTTCCTACTTATCCTGTATAAAGGATATTGTAATATTTGTTTGTTGTCTTCCCTATTAGACTGTGAACTCCTTAAACTCAAGAACCATCTTTTCTTTATATCTCCAACACTCAGCCATATCTGGCACATAGTAGGCACTTAATAAGTTATTGACTGACTGATGAAGAGGCTGAGGTGAAGGGGGAGCATTTATTAATTTACTATGTGGGAGGCACTCTGCTAAGGACCAGGCATACAAAGAAAGGTGACTCTGTCATCCGACCCCCACCCCCAAATCACAGAATGGATTCCAAGCAGAGAAACAAGAGATGTAAGAACAGCTAGCAGGTCACTTTGGTTGGAACGTAAAGTGGGTGAAAAGCGGTAACATGGAAAAAATGCCTAGAAAGTTATTTGGTCCTTGCAGAATCACAACATTTCAGAATCTGAGAGCTCCAAAGTAGCCATAAATTCTTAAAATTAATTCTTCCTATAACCTACCTGATGTGTGGTCATCTAGGCTTTTTTTGAAAACCCATAGAGATTTACTACCTTCTGAAGTCTTCTAGTTCAGAATAGTGGTGTTAGAAGGTTTTTTTCTTATGTCAAGCCTAAATTTACTCCTTTGTGACTTCTACCTATTGCTCGAAATTCTGTCTGTTGGGGGCAAAGAAAACAAGTCTGATCCCTCTTCCACATGGCAGCCCTTTGAGTCCTATCATCTTATTTCTGGAAGCAATATCTAGAGAGATAGTCTGGCCTAGTGGACAGAGAGACTTGGCTTTAGAATGGACAAGACCTGGGTGCAAATCCTTTTTCTGATGTATACTGTCTTTGTGACCCTGGAAAAATTGTTTAATCTCTAGGTATCTCTCTAATGCTCTTAACAGCTATCCAAAACTGTAAGTTATAGAGCAGATGGCAAAGGAAGTTCTCTTATATAAGTGAAATTGCAGATCCAGGCTCCTCCCAGATTCCTCTTAATGTTTACTAACATGGCTTTCTTGGTTGCCATATTGCACTGTTGACTCATATTAAGCTTGTGGTCCACCGGAACCCCCAGATTGTTTAGAGACAAACTACTCATTAGTCATGGCTCCCCCATCTTGTGCTTGGGAAGTTTATTTTTTATTTTTTTAAATTTTTTGCTTTTTGGTGAGGCAGTCGGGGTTAAGTGACTTGCCCAAGGTCACATAACTAGTGAGTGTAGTGTGTCTGAGGGCAGATTTGAACTCGGGTCTTTCTGACTGCAAAGCCGGTGCTTTATCCACTGCGCCACCTAGCTGCCCAGGAAGGTTTTTTTTAACCCAATTGTAAGACTTTATATTTGTCTTTTAAATTTTATCTTACTAGATTTAACCCAGTGACCTAGTCAAGTCTTGACCTGTCAAGTTCTTTTTGGATCCTGGCATCTGGTATGCTAGCTATCTCTCCCACTTAGATCATCTTCCGATTTATAAGCTTGCCATGTTTGTCTTTATCCAAGTCATTAATAAAAATGTTTGACAGCACAGGGCCAACCCCTGGGGCACTCCACGGGAGACTTCATTTAATCCTTTTGGTCCAGAACTTGAATTAATTTTGAATCCACTTAACTATGCAATCATCTTGCCCACGGATCTTCCCATCTTTTTCATGAGAATTATCATGTGCTTTGCTAAAATTTGATCTAACAGTTTAGTAACTGTTAAAAAAAAAAAAGAAAAGAAATCAGGTTAAACTTGCACTCCCTGTTCTTGCTGAAGGTACTGGCTCTGTGATTTCCCCTTCCCTCTCTAGGTATTGCTAACATAGTCTTGATAATCCATTCTAGAATTTTTTTATGAGTTGAAATAAAGCTTACTGGCCTATAGTTTGCAGGCTCCATTTAAGTTTTTTTGAAAATTGGGATAGCATTTGCCCTTATTTAGTGTTGCATTATCCTTCCCATCCTCCATGACCTTTCATGGATCACTCTAAAGAGCTCCAGTCACACCTCTCATTTATCTACACCAGGTTACTGGAACTCTTCCCAGGTAGCTAGCCACGTACTGTGTTACTGTCTTATTCTCTTTTGTATCCTCTCTTAGTCGTGTTTGGTCTTTCCTTTCCAGGCCAAGGTCATACTCTGACAAAACAAACAAAGTGGGAACTGAACAGCTCTGCATTCTATCATCATTTATTGTGGTCTTCTCTCCACACACTACCTGGGGAAGAGAAGATGTCTTAGATTGTACTCCTTTTCTCCATATAGCTTTAAAAAAAGAAATTTCTTTTGATTTTCGCTTTTCATCTCCATCCTCAGCTCATTTTGAGCTTTAACATCCTGGTACTATTCTAGGGGACCATAACCCATTTTTTATACATGCTTGCTTCTCTGCCCTTGCTTCCATCTTTTGTATATTCTAAAAAATCTAAATTGCTTGCTGAGTACAGTGTAAATCCACATTGGTCTTTTCCTCTATCTCTGTTTTTCCTCATTAAAATTGTTTGCTATGGTATCTAGGTTGGTGAGATATATGTATGTATATATATGGACATACACACACACACACACATATATATATATATATATATATATATATACACACACACACACACACACACACACATATGAACAGGCAGACAGACAGATTTTTATCACTTTTCCTGAATTTGGAGTCTGAAAGACCTGGGTTTAAATCCTTCCTCAAAGATTTTTTAGTTGCACAACACCACTTAATCTTTCTGAGTCTCAGTTTTCTCATCTGTAAAATGGGGATAATAGTAATGCTACTTTAGAGGGTTGTTGTGAAGCTCAAGTGATGTAATGTATATAAAAAGTACTTAGCAAATCTTAAAGCGTTATATAAATGCCGGCTTTATTATTATTGTTGTTATTTCACTTTAAAGTCTTTTTGATTAGATTTGCAAGGCAATAGACAGGTACATTCTAACCAGTTATTAGGTGTCCTTCATCCCTAGGCTGTCGTTCTTATATTTTAAGTCATGTTCCCGAAATAGAAATCTCATTCTCAGACACTGTCTTCTTAATCAGCTGTTCGCTTCCCAAATGTGCCTTTCTTTTCTGCATCTTTTGCCTTCAGTCATCAGTGATGAAAACACCACCTGTGCCCACTAGGTTCCTTCTGGCAGTATTCTTTGTGCCCACATGAATTATCAGAAATAGGGAGTGGTTATCGTTTTAGCCAGGTCTTAGATGTATTCACCAGGATGAGAACAGTCCTTTCTGTTGGCCAGGAGCTGCCTCAGTAGCCCTTAGCAGGTAGACACCAACCACCACTATTCTTTTCTCCCTTTGACTTTTAATGTGTGATTTCTCATGTGAGCTGTAAGCACCTGCTCTCTCCTCAGATCTGAATTCAGTTCCCTATTCTTTTGAAAGAGCCTAAGTTATATTTTTGGGCTCCAAGTCCTTCATTCCCTTCCTCTTGTTGACATTCTTCCAGGTCAGTTGGAACTAGATTATAGAAGACCTTTAAATGCCAATTGGAAAAGTACTTGGTGATAAAGGCAGCAGGGAGCCAGCGAAGATTCTCGAGCAGAGTTGACATGGTCAGACCTGTATTGTAAAGGTATTTGGCAGCTGTGTGGAGGATGGCTTGCAAACTAGGAGACTGATCTGGAAGCTGTTAGAATGCAGGTGAAGGACAAAGGGCGGTGGCTGTGTGAATGGAGAGATGTGGAGGTGCAATTGGCAACTATGCATGTGTTGATTGAGGGAGAGGGAGAAGTCAAGCTTCAGTTTGAGGATGGGAACCTGGGTGACTGAAAAAATGGTGAGGCCTTCATCAGAAATAGGGAAATTTATTTTTTTCCAAGTAGAGATTTAAAAATATTTTTTCCAGTTACATGTAATAACAATTTTTAACATTCATTTTAAAACCCTTTGAGTTCTAAATTCTCTCGTCCCCATCCTCTCCCCCACCTTGAGAAGGCAAACAATTTGATATGGATTCTACACGTGCAGTCATGCAAAGCATCAGAAATAGGGAACTTTAGAGGAGAATGAGTTTGCTGGGAGAATATAAAGTTCCATTTTGAACAAGTTGAGTTTGAGATGCCAGGTGACAACCAGTTGGACATATCCGGCAGGCAGTTGTCTATAGGGGAGTGCAGTT